CTGGTTATTCAGAAGTTCTGCTCGTTACTGCTTCACTGTACCTCAGGTCATCAGGAGAAAAAGTCAAAGATTTAGACTACTCTCAGCCCACAGGGTCATTTCACAAATAATTATTAACCGCCACCTATTCTTTGTAAGGTGCTAGGCTACATTGCAAGTACAGGGATGAAGAGGACTCTACTCATGGAGCTGGAGTGCAGTATAGGAACCCATGCCGAAGGACAGAAGTGGACAGCCCACGCACTGTCACAGGGAGGGTGCTGACGAAGTGCCCATGACACAAGGCGCATTCACCATGGCAAGATGAGGGTGGCATTGCTGCTGGGCAGGATGGGGTGATCCGCGAGAACTATACTTGTGGACACTGGCACGGGACTGTCTTCCAGTGGGGGTTGGCATCAGTGCACACAGGTGGCAGGGGGGACGTCGGCGGGGAGTGCTCTTCAACGTAGGAGAGTAGGGGCCGGGAATCTACACCATACTTACTTAACTTCCAACTCTAAAGACCCTGCATGTATGCTTCATCTTTCCGTGGATTTGGGAGACAATCGTGTTTTATGGAAGTCTGAAGTGATGGATGTTCATATTTATGCTAGTCTTTCTTCTGTCCTCTTAGCCCCTATCTGTGTTGTCCTACCTGCTTAGAAATAGCTACAGTTTAAAAGGAACCCCTCTCATTGTGAAAATATGACAGTAAAGTCCCCTTAAAAACAGATGCAGTCACAGGTCAAAAATAAAAAGGGAAATAATAAAAGGTCCTTGGTAACCCTGTTCTCCAGTAGCCAAGCTCCCCTCATCCTGCCACAGCTGCGGGACACACCACAGGTACAGCCTACTCTTGTTTGAATGTGGATTGCGTTAAAGTAGGAAAAACTCTTTAATTCAAATGGAAGCTTCCCAGCCTTAGTGTGGTAGTTAGCTAGTTGTGTCTGCTAGAGTAAGAAACAGCCAGCATAGCTGGATCAGCATAGCTCTGGGTGTGCCTGAAGGGATTTACTGAAGACCGAAGACCCAGCCTGGGTGGGCTTGCTGCTTGAATGGAAAAAGGGAAACGAAGAAGGAAGACTTGCTTCTGTTTCTTCGAGGAGCTCCAATCTTGCCCTTCAGCTTGGAAGTCGTCTCCTGGCTTCCAGTGCAGACCCCTCGGCCTCCTGATACAGACTGGCAAGGGACACTACAGTGGGCTCCAGGCCTGGACTGGATCCTTAGATCTCCAGTGCACAGAGAGCCCCTTTCCACTTTCACACACCTGACTGCGGCGGCCACTGTGAGCCAGTCTTGTAAATTCTTATATATGGGGGGGGGGTTATTTGTTTGTTTTTGAGACAGGGTCTTGCTCTGTAGTTCAGGGTGTCCTTGAGCTCACTGTGTACCCCAGGCAGGCCTCAGTCGTGGCAATCCTCCTGCCTCAGTCTCCCAAGTGCTGGAATTACATTTTCTTATATATTTGTATATGTTGCATTAAATCTGTTTTTCTAGTAAGCACTGACTGATACATTCATTACATCTTTAAACAGGCCAGTGCTACATCAGCCAAATCTAGTCAAGAGAGAGAACCCACACAGTATGAACAAAGGAACTTTACCCTAAGAGGAGAGTAATGAGGAGTTGACTAGTAAGCAATAAAGAAAACTCTAAACTCCAGAGCTGGCAACCACCACCCAGGGCTGACCAAAGCAGGCACCCTGTGGCTCCCTGAATGGTGAGCTTGCTGGCAGTCTGCCCTCCAAGGGGCCGAGAGTACTTCCGGAGAGGTGCCCGAGGGAGGTTCTAGGCGAATGGCCTCGTGCCGCCCAGGGTTTGAGACCAGGAGAGCAGTCTGCACTGTGGAGCCCACACAGCTGCTAGACTGCCACGCAGTAGCAAGGAGTTCTGTTCTGGTCCTCTCTCCTGAAAACATGGTGGCAGTTGGGAAAGGAAAATTATTAAAAGGCTTATACCTATTTCACAGAGCAAGAAAAAGGGTGGATTTGGAGCCGAGAGACAATACATTAATAAGCACAGGGACTAAGTACAAATAGCCATGACATCCCAAGGGAATCGTTGCCAGGAAGATGTACCTGCTGCCAGAAAGATTATACAATGCATTTAAAGCCAAAGATTAAGGATTTGGATATTACTCTTACCATGAGTACTTAGGGAACGAACGAGGAAGGGGACGTTGCCAGACCTCTGCAGTGGGTCCTGGCCTCCTGCAAGCCTCCACAGCACAGGGTGAATTAAAGAACAGACAGGAAACGAGACTTAGAGTGGAGAAGCTGGGTCTTGGGTCCTGAACAGTGCTGCTGATGGCAGCAAAGACAAAGGCCCCCAGGCGCACCCAGTGTTTATTGAGCACAGTCGTGGGAAGGGGTGGGGAGTCAGGTATGCTTAGAAGGCATCTGGTGAAACACTGCCAAGAACCTGGCCTGATGGCACCGGGCAGGGCTGTCAGGGAGGAAGCATTGCTTACCTTGCTTGGACAGAACAAACAGGTACTGGGTCCAGGTAGAATTAGCAAGCAACCCATCGGGTCTGCAAGAGGCCAAAAGGATTTTAATTGGGGTCATGCTGACCTCAGCTGCATATTGACTCAGCAGAACCCTGCCACTTCACAGACCAGGACTTAGGCCTCGGTGACAGCCATTAGCAATACTAGCCAATAGCCCAAGGCTGCTACCTGACACGCCCATTTGAGTCAGGGAAGGCTTCAGTCTGACTCCTGATATAAAACAATACAGCCGAGTTAAGGGAGGCAGGAAGCAGGTGCCACTCATAGTCAGCTAGCACTGGGCAGGGATCTGCTACAGTGTACTCTTACCTCTCTAGGAATTGCCTGAACTCTTTTCTTCCGTTACAGGGATAAGCTATAGGGTGTAGCAAGTGGAAATAAAGTCCCTTTGGAGTAAAACCTTTAGTTCCTTAGAAACCATAGAAGCAAGTATAGAAGACTTTAAATATAGGGAGAAAACAAAGTTGTCTGATCCCTTCTTCATCCCTGCAGATACACCACGTGTTCTATCTTCCTAAAGATCTGCCCGATACCCCTGCCTGCCCGTTCTAACTGTTCTTAGTACATTCCAACAAGTCCCTTGTCCTCTGGCAAAACCAAGCGGGAGCTGCGGACAGGTGGAAGGAGGATCTGGGAATCAGCTATTTCCTGGTCTGTTGATCAGCCTGCTTTTAGCTGGCCCTTCCCTTTTAGCTGTAAGGACAGCTGCTCTGTACCTCCATTTCCTGTGGCGTCTCCGAGGTGACTTAGATTGTGTGTCTTGGTTTTGCCCACTGCTGAATTAGGATTCACTTCCTCAGATGTTCCAAGTCAGTTGCTCTTACCTGTTAATATTATTCCCTGTTCTCTTTGTATTCACTGTACCAAAAGTCTTGATTTGTTGTTTTTGTTGTTTGTTTTTGAGACAGGGTCTCACTATGTTCCAGGCTGCCCTGGGACTCACTGTGTAGCCCAGGCTGGCCTTGAACTTGTGGTCCTCTCGAGAACCTCAGCCTCCCGAGTGCTGGGATTGCAAGCCGCATCACCACACCTGGCTGAAAATTCTGATTCTTTACTGACTTTGTTATAGAAGTCTGGATGCAAAGGATGAATTTAAATGTCTGTTTCTGAGATGTTCTCCCTGTAACTATTGCTATTCAGATATCAGCATTTGAAAGTTCTTTACTTTTCTTAGATGCAGTTAACATAATGCCATTTCTGAGGTTTAACAGAGTTCATATCAACAGTGTGTTTTAAAGTTACTTTTTAAATTGCACTTAAATTTTCTTTTAAAAACCTTTACAATTTCTTAGTAAAGAAAATCAAGACTATCTCTTAGGCCTGTGTGAGGTACAGGTTCTTAAGACTGAAGAAGCAGTGACTATGAAAAATTGCTCTTTCCATGGTTAGTCACCTTTACAGAAGTGTGAAGTGTGCCAGAGGATAAATATCCAGAATATATAAAGAACTCCTACCCTTAGTCTAGAACAATTAGAAGAAAAGGGCAACATGAACAAAACAGGCACAGACACACGTGTCCTCAGCAGCATGAAGAGATGGCAGCTGGGTGGCGAGCGGAGTGTAGATGACCGCGTCAGTGAGGCCCTGTCGTCACTCAGGTCGGCCGTGTCCACGGGTCGTGTGGGCCCGAAGATGCTCGATGGGGCCGTCAGCATGGAGGATGTCCAGTCTCGTCATCCCCTATGGAGAATACTGTGGCACAGTTCCACTCCCGGGGCTCCCCAGGGGAAATTCCTTACCGTGGTACAGAGGGAGACCTGCACAGTGCTGGGAGCAGCCACACCCTCGACGCTGTCCAGGCCACCACGGGAAAGTGGAGTAGTGTGCAGCACTACAGCAGAGCTGCTGTGATAGGCACACTTTTACAGTGTAAAACAACTTCACATTAAAAATGTGGGTCTTATTTCATGGGTGCAGCAAGAAAAGAGGAAGCAAGGGAAAATTAAGCATAGGATTTCAATTATACTTCCTTTAGATGCTGGAGGCAGAGGACAAGGTGGAGGGGAGGACCATGTGGTTACAAGCAGATTGTCGGTGTCTTAGCCTGTGCTTTGGATAGTGGATGTGGGAGTCCTTGTTACACTTTTGAAAATAATTAGGTAATTAGACACACAGAACCATGGATCTTGGTCCTTGGGTTGTTTCGCCTTTTTTTTGTTGTTTGTTTTTAAAGAAGTAACGTTTTGAACATTGGAACTAGTGTTTTACAGTTGAAAGGTATAAAAATATGTTGATCTAAAATATAGTTAAATTAGGGCCGGGGATTTAGCTTAGTGGTTTTGCCGCCTGCTGCACAAGTGCAAGGACCTGAGTTTGATCCCCTGTACCAAAAGAGATAGATAAATAAATAAATAAATAAATAAATAAATAAAGTTAAATTACCTTTTCTAGGTGGAGGTGCATATACTGCTAAGTAAGTGTCATACGCCTTGTGAAGTATTGAGTGCATAAATATTTATAGCTATTTCTGTTCTTTCATAGAAATTTTACATTTTTTTCCCTTTCTTAGGACAAAGTTAAACTATAACCCTCCAAAAGATGATGGATCCACTTATAAGATTGAACTTGAAGGGATATCGGTAATGGTTATGAGAGAGATCCTGGATTACATCTTCAGTGGGCAGGTACGAGACACAGGGAGGAGGCCCAGGTAGAGGCTTCTGAGCTATGCTGCCAGGCAGTGCTGCCGTCACCGCACCTTGTCACTGGGCCGGGGCTGGTGCCTCCTCCTGGGGATGCACCCCACACATGTTCTCCTGGGCTCTGCTCTGAAAGAGAAGCGCACAAAGTGAAACTGACCCAAATCCAAGCCTAGGTTTTGCCATTCTGAGCTCCACCCCCTGGCATGAACGTGAAGGCCACGGGGTGAGCCCCTCCCTCCCCACCACCCTTGTGTTTGGTTTGCATCTTGGGGCCAGCCTCGCTTTGTGTCCACCTGCTGGAGAACATGTTCTGTCTCACGGAGGGGAAACAGCTTCTCTGGGCTTGGGCTTGTTTTGTCGAAATGACAAGTCCCTACTAGGTCATGTAGGTCATTCCCAGAAGGAGGATTCACACAGATGACAGACACTCTTACAGTTGTGGCGCCTTGGTCTTGCCTCTGTAGCACCACCATCCCCAGCCCACCCTGCCCTTCCTGATTTCCCTTTTCTGTCTGTACCTGTGTGTGTTTCTGCAAACTTAATCATACCCGGGACAGGAGTGCCGTCCTCTCCTCTGACCCCTCCCTGCCAGGCCTGTTACTGGTTCACATTCTAGGGTGAGACTCTTGACCAGAACCTTCGGTGTGAGAGGGTCCTGCCTTGTCACAGGAGGGGGTTGGCCCATCATATTTGGCTGTGTGAGAGTGCGTTTTATCATCATTCTTGCTGAGATCGTGTCCCCTGCTCTCTCCTTTGATCCTTCTTCATCACTCCTGTTTTCCTTTTCTGTAAGGGCTGTTTCTCCTTCATACTTCTTAAGGATTCTGAGGTATTCCTCGCCTTCTTTTAAGTATATTCATTCTGTCCAGAGTTCAGCCCAGTGATTCTCATCTTTTTGCAGTGTGTGTGTGTGTGTGCGTGTGTGTGTGAGAGAGAGGGAGAGACTGGTAAACATAAATGAATTTAAAGCGCTAGAGACACTCCTGAAATACAAACCCAGGCGTGCACCCAGTCTCCTGCCTGGCTCCCAGGCCCACTGGGCAGCAGTGTGTAGCCTCGGAGGCGGTAGGCCAGTGAGAGGTGAGACCCTTGTTGGGGTCAGGTTGGGCTTGAGGCTGTATTTACACAGCAGCAGCCAGGACTGTCCCCAGTTAAATTTAAAACCTGGCTACAGTGTAAGCTATAACAAGCTCCTGAATTGGGAGTTTAGTTTTATTGAGATCCAATTTAATGTTTTCTCACCCACCTGTATTTGAATAGTCTACACCTATCTGCTGTCTTGTGGCTAAATTTCAGATGCATGTAAATGGGAAGTTTTCCTTTCTCAGTATACTGCTTTCCAGTTGAGTCGCTCGCTTTCTAAGGCATTGGCAGTTACAGGGTTTTATTTTCTGCCTGGTAGGAGGTGTGTAGAATGTGGTAAGAAGTGTCTCCTGTCCTCTGTGTGAATTCTCTCCTCTGCGTCCCTGGCAGGGGGAAGCACCCTTGTTGTGGGTGACTGTGACTGTGGCACTGCTCACTGGCCCCATCTCTGCCTTGCTTTGCAGTTCCATGGAGAAACTGTGAAGTAGGTAGAGAAAGAAGTGTCAGTAAGAAAACTGAAGAGAATTAAGGAAAAGTAATCATTTGTGATGAAGGGGAAAAATCCTCATATTAGGAATTTGTACCAAAAGGTGGTCTTGAGGCCTAATTGCATCCATGGCATCGGGGACAATATTTGCAGGTTCAGAATGAGGCTTCTAGGTGAGCAGAATCCTTGCTTCCGTTCGATGTGCTGGAGCATAGCAGAAGGCCAGGGAGGCCCCGGTGTTCATATTTTAAGGATGCTACCTCCGGTTTCCCACGGAAGGCAGAGCTTCCCTTTTCCATGCATCCCATCAGGTTTTGGATGTGAACACATGGGCTGTTTTCCTGCACGAGTTAGGGGTTATCCCTGCTGGACCAGCAAGGGAGGACCTGGGAAGAGCTCCACAGGGTCTCATCTGCTTATGTGGGTAGGAGGTTCCTTAGGGCCCTCATGATCCAAGGTGGAATTGTGTGACATTTCCAATATTCACTCACCTTTAACCTCCAAGACTGGAAATTTCCTGTGGTTCAGTGTAATAGATGAGTGGATTGGGTTTTAGATATCTACAGTCCAATATAAAGTGTTTCTGGTCCTCCTACAGATCAGGCTGAATGAAGATACGATCCAAGATGTGGTACAGGCGGCAGACCTGCTGCTGCTGACGGACCTCAAGGCTCTGTGCTGTGAGTTCCTAGAGGGCTGCATTGCAGCAGAGAACTGCATCGGCATCCGGGACTTCGCTCTGCACTACTGCCTGCACCACGTCCACTACCTGGCCACCGAGTACCTGGAGACTCACTTCCGGGACGTCAGCAGCACAGAAGAATTCCTGGAGCTGAGTCCTCAGAAGCTCAAAGAAGTGATTTCTCTTGAGAAGTTGAATGTCGGCAATGAAAGATATGTGTTTGAAGCAGTAATTCGATGGATAGCACACGACACAGAAGTCAGAAAGGTACTGTCATTTATCACATGGTGTTACATTGCCTTTTCATTTATTTTTAATCCAAATGAGAGTTGTGACCTAAAAGATACCTGGAGAACATCTTCCTATCTGTGACTAAGGTGATCTTTCTGACCAGTCTGCAGAGGAGCATACTATCCATGGGACATCCCATTTTTTTGGGAAAACACACTTCAAGCTTAAACTGGGAGTTACAGAGTTGCTCTTTCTTCACCTTTGCTTTCAGCCCCCATCCTGCCTCCTGCATCCCTGGGTGGCCCTTGCAGGACACTGGTGCCCTCAGGAGTGCAGCAGAGAAGCGGGCCTGGGGCTCACCCTGGTGTGACGACAGCCCGGGGGACTATGGCGCTGTGTGGCCCTCACGTGACTGCTGGGGAAAGAGGGTGTGAACACCATTCTTTAGGTCCACTCTGGATAGACACTGGGGGAGGGGGCGGGAACGTGGGGCTTTGCTCTCCAGTCTGCTCTTTATAAAGATGAGACCAGCTCTGGTTGCTCATTGCAATGTAAGACACATATTAGGCTGGTTTCAGAGAGTACATTTCCAATCGCATAATTGTACTGTTACTTGTTCTTGGTAACTATTGACTGAAGTTTGAGTGATTATCATGTCCTGTTTTACATTTGTAGTCTTAGTTTGAGTTTTGTGGTAGTCAGATGAGTTAGGAAAGGAGAGAGAGAAGGCTCCAGTTTGCCCCGCTCCCTGAGACCACAGGAAACACTGCTCGGGCCAGCACCTGCCAGAGCCTGTGCCTCAGGGATGAGGATGCTTGAGGGAAGCTGGTTGCCAGGGAAACAAGGCTGTTCTCTGTCCTTTGGTTAATCTGAACCTCATGCCATAAAGACTGCTGGTGTGTATTTCTCAGAGTATAGAAGAATGGACCTTAAAGTGATACTTCAAATCTGTGAAAAAATCTCCTGAATATACCACTTAATAAATCAGCCATTTAAAGTATTTCACCTTACATATGTAGACTGCCCTCATCAGTTGGTTCAGATGTAGTTATTGACAGCAAAAGTATGTGATTCATATTTAATGTATTAGATACTCTTGGAAGTGACTGATACAGAAATGATTATTTTTATACTCAAATTTAAAAAAAATTTTGGCTCTTCTGTATTTTTCTTGTTAATATTGATAGTTATTTAAGGGTAGTATGTGTTACTGAGCTATCATCATATGTAATATTCTGTAAATGTGATTTAACTCCACACATCCAGATACAGTACCTGAAATAAAGCAAATTATACTCTGTTTACCGATTGGAAGGGGAACCCTTTCCAAGAAGGCTGCTTGAACTGGGAATGGTGGCTCACACCTGCAATCCCAGCTACTCAAGAGGCTGAGGCAGGAGGTTGGCAAGTTCAAGGCAAGCCTGGGTAACTTAGTGAGACCCTGTCTCAGAATAAAAATAAATAAATTAGAAAAGGGGGGTGGTGGGGCTTGGGATATAGCTCAGTATTCCCTAGGTTCAGTCTCCATTACCACCAAAAAGAAGAAAGAGAGAAAGAAACCGTGGTGATACTCAGGTATAAATTTGAACTGATGATTTTTTTTTTAACTAAACTTTGTTTTTTTGAGATAGCATCTTGCTATATAGTCCAGGCTGGCCTTGAACTCATTATGTAGCCCAGGCTGACCTCAAATTACCAGCAGTCCTCCTGCCTCAGCCTCCTGAATGCTGGGATTGCAGCATGTGCCATCATGCCCACCTCAAATTAAACTGGTTTTCCCTAGGCTCTGGGAGGTAGAAAAGAAGGGGCTGGTGATACATATCCGAGCAGTACTGGCATCAGCCACTTGCCTGATAATCAGGTTGTTACAGTTGTAGCTTTCCAAGGTCAGAAAATGTGTCCTTTGCAAACCCAGCGTGGCATCCTCCATTGCCCCGTCCTTCCTTCTCCCTCTGCAGGTCCACATGAAGGATGTCATGTCAGCACTGTGGGTTTCAGGGCTGGACTCCAGTTACTTGCGGGAACAGATGCTGAACGAACCGTTGGTACGAGAAATCGTCAAAGAGTGCAGCAATATCCCGCTCAGCCAGCCGCAGCAGGGGGAGGCCATGCTGGCGAGCTTCAAGCCCAGGGGCTACTCCGAGTGCATCGTGACCGTCGGTGGGGAGGAGAGAGTGTAAGTGCGGGTGGAGTGCTTTGAAAGGCCGTGTGTGGGAAGCCGCAGTTCCGCGTGAACCAGAGTTCAGAATATTTTTCACGATCAAAGCATAATGGCAGTCAGCTTTTTGTAATGTCTTAAACATTCTTTAGAGCACTCAAACGGGTGATGTCTGTTGTAAGCAGAACCCTAAACACTAACCGCTAATCAATTATTTCTCTCCTTAGTTCCCGGAAACCCACGGCAGCGATGCGATGTATGTGCCCCCTCTACGACCCCAATCGGCAGCTTTGGATTGAACTGGCCCCTCTGAGCATGCCGAGAATTAACCACGGCGTTCTCTCAGCAGGTACCGTGCTGTGCTAAGTTCAGCTGTACCTAAGGCCAAGGGATGAGCAGCTTCAGGGTCCTCCAGGAGATACAGAGCACTTTAAAGATAAAGCTTAATCGTCAGTGTGGGTCCAGCTTTTGCGAGAGTGATTGGAAAAGAGCCCTTCCGGTCAGGTCTAGCATCGCACCACTGTAAGGAGTGGTGAGCTGTGATGAATGGAATCATGCACTGCAAACATGTATTCATGAAAGCTTCAAGTATTAAAAGTGTATGAAGCAGGCAGGGGCAGAGCTGGGTAGGTCCCTCAGTGAGAAGAGGCCCACCCTCCCAGCCCTCCACACAGCTGGCCTCAGCCATGGTGCTCCCGCCTTTGAGGCCATGCTGTGTAGGATCACAGTCCAGTTTTATAAAATATGCTGCTGTAAAAGCAGGCATTTCTCTTGAGACCTTAGAGAAGTACTCACGAATGCTTTTTGTTTGCACAAGCGTTTGGCCAAATTTTGGTTTTGATTGTAAACTCTGCATCAGGTGACAAATACAACGACCACCACCTTTTTTGCACAAACACAAACATACCATTTTCCCCAGACACATGGAATGAATTAAGCTCATGAACCAAGGTAGCGCTGTACTTAAATTAGCAGTGGCTTAAAGTTATTTTACTACACACAGTATGTTTTACTTGACCATCACAAGTTTGAAGATTGTTCCAGATTATTCAGTGCTCTCACTTTAGAAGATGATAGAAAAGATTGATTGCTGCCTTTCTACAGTTGACTGCCTCTCTCTTCACCTGGACTCTGGCTGGGTTCACTCACCAAGTTCCTTTTCACATAATTCTAGATATTGTCAGCAGTCCTGCTGGAATTCTTATTTAATTGTCTCTGCTTGCCCACTAAAATTACCTTTAAAATTTTTAAAGCTATACCATAACCTGTCTTAAAAGATGGCTCAGCCAGGTATGTGTGTATGGCACACAGTATAATCCCAGCTCTATGGGAACCTGAGGCAAGAGGACTGCAAGTTCAAGCCCAGCCTGGGCAACCTAGTGACTTAGCAAGACCCTGTCTCAAAATAAAACATAAGAAGGGCTGGGGATGTAACTCAGTGCAAAGGCCCTGGATTCAATCCCCAGTACCAGGAAAAAAGAAAAAATGCTGAGGGTGTATTATTTTATAGACATGGAACCATTTTATGTATCTCAGAATCATTGGAATTATTTTTAACACTAAGTTGTTGGATGGAGTAGTGCAGCCAGCGGGATGAGGGTCTGTTTTTCCCATTCTGTCTTCCTGGAGTTCACTCCCATCTCATGTATACACACCCATAATTTTGACTCATGCACACCGATCACAGGTGTTTCCATGTCACTTAAGATTTTCTGGGGCTGGGGATTCAGCTCGGTGGTTTCGCCGCCTGCTGCGCAAGTGCAAGGACCTGAGTTCGATCCCCAGTACCAAAAAAAAAAAATTATTCTGGATGGGTTGGTATTTCAGAAACTAAACAATGATGAAGAGAATGATCATATACAGATGTATTGATTGACACTGAAATGATTGAATAGTTTCCTTTCTGTTTGCCTAGCCAACTATATTTCTTTCTTTTCTTGCCTTTTATAAGAATTATTTTGACTTTTTTAATCTTTCTATTTTTCCTCTCTTCTAGTTGGAAGTTACAATATTGTTTACATTACTTTGGGAAAATTACCTTAGATATTACAGCCTGTGTCTCAAGTTATCAAAGTGTAAAGTTCATCAGTACAATTATTCTTCTAGGTATTGCTCATTTTTCATCTTCCATAGTCTTACAGTATTAAAATATATGATTATTAACAGACATATTCATGGTATATGTTTTGGTTTTTTGGTACCGGGGATCAAACTCAGGACCTTGTGCTTGCGAGGCAGGCGCAGTGCCACTGAGCTAAACCCCCGGTCTGGTATATCATTTGGCCTTTTTTTGGTAGCAGGCATCAAACTCAGGACCTCGTGCTTGCAAGGCAGGCAGCAGAACTACTGAGCTAAATCCACAGTCCAATATATGTATTTTTGATTTGTGTTTTTGTCTGAATGAATGGACGGATAGTGCTTATTTAGCTTCACCACTTTCTTTGTTCTTCCTCCTTTTCACCCAGAATTTCCACATAGGATCATTTTGCTTCTCTCTGAAGTTTATCCTTTTGAATTTCCTTTAATGTGGATCTTTTGATGGAAAATTTTCAGATTTGTCTGCAGGGTAATTATTTTGCTTTCATTCTTGAAGGATAGTTTTGCTGGGTATAGAGTTTTAGAATACTGTTTCTTTTCAGCACATTGAAGATGCCTTTCCACTTACTTAAGTCAGTTATCAATCTAAAAAATCTCTTTGGGGTATATTTAAGATTTTCTTTTTTTTTCCTCTACCATTTCATTACAGTGTGTATACTTTAATTAAAATTGTATCATATTTGGGTTTTTTTGGCTCTTTGACTCTACTGGGCTTGGGTTTTTATCCATTCTGGGTAATTCATATCCATTTTGTCTTCACATATTGCCTCTGCTGCATTATTCTCTCTCCCTCTGCTCTTGAAAGTCACATCAAACACTGCCAGGCCTTTGTACGTTTACCCGCTACCTTCTGTCTTCTTTGTGTTGCTTCCTATCTTTTTGTTTAACTTTTTTTTTTTACTTCTTATGTTTTTGTTGCTGTATGCTACCTTCTTGATGATTGCTCTTTATTTATCCTCAGTGAAAGCTGTCTTTAACTTTTTTATTTTTAGAGTTTCTCTTTGAATCTTTTTCAAAACTGTTATTTCTTTTGTTTTTGGTACCGGGGATCGAACTCAGGTCCTTCTGCTTGTGAGGCAGGTGGCGGAACCACTGAGCTAAATCCCTGGCCCAAAACTGTTATTTCTATAGTCCTGTGTTTCCTAGAGTTGTCAAGTTTTGTGTTTTTTTTACTTTTGAAGTGTGATAGGCATTGTTATTTTGTCATCTTTCTGATTATGCCAATATGTAACATCTGTGCAGTTGCGCTTCTGCTGTCTTGTTTCTCTTTATAGAACCTTATTTTTTGGTATGCCTGAGTATATTGCCCAGATGCTGGCATTTTATTTAAAGTTATTTGCAGTAATAATTGATGAATTAAACTCTTAGAATGTTGACTCTAAAACTTGGATGATGAAACTTTCTTGTATAGAAGTTTTGTACTTGTTTCTGCCAGTCCCCTGAAGACACTGCTAATTGATGTTATTATAAATCAAGCCCAAGGGTTGAGAGCTCCTAGACAAGTAAGGAGCTTTAAATCACCACTGCTTCTAGCTGGCCTACATCCCGAGCATAGAACTTGGGAGCAGATTTCCTGCCAGAAGCTGCTTCTAAGGGCCTGTGGCTTAAATTTCTTTTTCCTCCCTGGGACAAAAGATACAAACTCCCAGAGTGGCATGTGCCTTCCAGGCAGAATAGTTGCCCTGTGTGGCAACCTTTCCAGAGGCTCCACTTTTCCCTTCAGTTTTTCCTTATTGTCTTGTTGGCTTCTTCTCATCTAAGACTATTATAAAAATATTTTATTCAGCAAGTTAGTTGCTTTTTGCAGAACAACCCAATCTGCCATTACCCAAAATAGAAAGTCAACTCTTGGATTTTGTTTCGAATTGAAATATGGACCGGTGCCAAGCTCTGAGCATCCTGGGTCGTGGGGATAGGTGTGGGCCCCGGGTCAGAAGCCTCATGAGAATCGCAGGGCTGGGGATTAGAACAGGACCTGAGATGACCTGAGGGCGGTGTCTCCTTGCTGTCACGCTATAGGGCTGTGTATCCCCTCACAGACAACTGAGCAGGCAGAGTGGCCAGTGACTCACAGGCTGGGTTGTGTCATCAAGGAGCAAATGAAATGTGACCGAGGTCCCGGGTCCAAGACAAAACTGTCACGGTGGGAGGAAGTTCTGGAGATGCTGCGCGCCCGTGCTGTGATCCTCCTGGGGCTGAGGACTCGGTCTCAAGTTGCTTGTGTGTCTCTTCTGGTTTTTGCAGAAGGATTTTTGTTTGTATTTGGAGGCCAAGATGAAAATAAGCAGACGCTGAGCTCGGGAGAGAAGTACGATCCAGATGCAAATATGTGGACCGCGTTGCCACCCATGAATGAGGTGAAGTACATACTTGTTTCTCTTGTGTGTGGCACTTTGGTTTTGTGTTGGGAAGAGGAGGTGGCCAGATCCTCACACCTGCTGTCCTGTCGCGCTCCTGCCATCCCTTCTCCTGACACCCTCTGGTCACCCTGGTTTCTCAGACTAGGGCTCCTGCTCGCACTTGGGCCTTACATAAGTTCTTTCCTGTCTGCCCAGGGTGCCTCCCCCCTGCCCCTTTGCACACTGGTCCTTACAGATGTCATGGAGGCTCTCAAGAAGGGAATGGCATCTGTCCCGCTCAGTTTCAGTCCTTGGTGGAACAGTGCCTGGCACATGTGTGCGCTGAGTGAATAATTGTTGCCCAGTGAATACTGAAGACCTCTGCCTTCTGTGGTTCCCGGACTCTTGCCCTGACCCTGGCCTCCCATGGCCTCCCACGGCTTCCCTGGCCCCGGAGAGTCTGCCCTGCTGGGATCTTTCTTGTCTTTCCAACATGGGCTCGGAAGCCTGATGGACGCCTGTTGCTGTATGAAGAGTTTCATTAAACCAGTTATTACCTAAGGTGATGCTTTGCTCTCTGGTGGACTAGAGTGTGTTAACAAGTGGTGATTCCACTGACAAGTTCACCGTGCATCTTATTCCCTTCTTCTAAGAAATGTCTGTCTTTGGCTCCCTGTCTGTTGTGCCGGATGTGTGAGCTAGTGGGAGAGCTGGGAATACAAGAAAGGGTGTCACAGGCGAATCACTTCCTTGCTGGAACACTGAAATAAAATGATACCTGTAACTGTTATCAGATACACAAATATCAGCCTCTATGTACAGAGAACTTTGATGTCTTTTCAGGCAAGACACAACTTCGGCATTGTAGAAATAGACGGCATGCTGTACGTTTTAGGAGGGGAGGACGGGGACAAGGAGCTGATCTCCATGGAGTGTTATGACATCTATTCTAAAACCTGGATGAAGCAACCTGATTTGACCATGGTTAGAAAGGTGAGGCTGATGGCTTCCTGTGACCACTTTGTTTACAGATTGGATTTTAAAGTTAATGTTTCTTCATTTCTTTTTTGTTTTTGTTTTTGGTACTGGGGATCGAACTTACAGCCTTGGGCTTTTGAGGCAGGTACAGCACCACTGAGCTAAATCCTCGGCCCTGTTTCTTCATTTCTTAAATACGCCTTTAATACAACAGAAAGTATTAAGAGAACTGGCGTGGTAGGGTTCTGTATCAGTAGCTTGCCTTCACTGTCAGTGGCCACACGCTGGGACGGGAACAAGTGTGTGCGAGTCAGGCCTACTGGGCCCAGGGCAGCAGGCTTGATCGAAGCTTTGCGGATGCTCAGATCCAAGGAGCAGCCGGAGCTCCCTACTTGGCTCTCAGTCACAGCGTCCAGGTGCCTAGAGCACAGCCTGTGTGTATCTGTGCTCCCGTTGGAGCCGGCAGGGAGTGGGGCAGCAGGACAAAGCTCGGTGAGTGCCCTAGGCACAGTGCTTCTTTAGGCAGTGGGATATTCTCCCGCGATCTCATTGTTTGTGCCCTTTCAGCAAAATTATTGTGATAGAAATAGAACGACTTGCTCCAATATTGGTGAAAGAATAGAGACTGGAAAGCTCTCTCTTTTTATTATTTTTTTCTTTTCTTTTTCAGTGCAGGGGATTTCCCCAGGGCTTTGTCCATGCTAGGCAAGCGTTTAATCACACCCCAAGCCCTGGAAAGCTCTTTTAAAAAGTACAGTCACCAACCTGCCTTGCCTAGAATAGAGGATAGAGCTGCTTCTCTGTGTTCTGTGGTGCCGGACTGGCAAGCACTGCACTTCTACTGTTAGAAATCAGACCTTTCCACGGGGCTGAGGGAGGGCCTCCTCGGTGAGCCTGGCCTAGAAATCAGCCCCTTTCTCAAATATCTTCACGTGCTCTCCCAACAAACTAGCATCTCTTTGTCTGTCTAGCTTTAATAATGGTGCCTTTGGGGCCAGGGATTTAGCTCAGTGGTTCCGCTGCCTGCCTCAAAATCGCAAAGTCCCAAGTTTGATCTCCAGTACCAGAAAAAAAATAATAATAATGGTGCCTTTCTCCATTGCTTCTCCTTTCAGATTGGCTGTTATGCAGCTATGAAAAAGAAAATCTATGCCATGGGTGGAGGGTCGTATGGAAAGCTGTTTGAGTCTGTGGAGTGTTACGACCCCAGGACCCAGCAGTGGACTGCCATCTGTCCCCTGAAAGAGAGGAGGTGAGTGAAGTGGAGGTGGGCAGGGCTTCCCTGTCTGCTGTTGGGTCTGAGTCCTCCTGACCTGGCCTTGTTGCTCCTCTTTCCAAAGTGGCCCTTATGTGGCCTAGGACTTCCGAGAATAGGAAGGCCCACATGTGCAAGCAGCACCGCGCTGCATTGAAGCGAGCCCTGGAGGAGCTAAGGAGGCAGACCTGGAGCTGAGCTCATACCTGCTGTGCTGTGTGTCTTCCAGGTTTGGCGCTGTGGCCTGCGGCGTTGCCATGGAGCTATACGTGTTTGGGGGCGTCCGGAGTCGTGAGGACATCCAGGTTAGCGAAATGGTCACCTGCAAGTCTGAATTCTACCACGATGAGTTTAAAAGGTAATTTTGAGGGTAGCGTGTAGCTTCTGCAACTTTTCCTTTATACCTCAGGGTCATGGTTTATCTGTGTTTAATTTTGGTTCTAAGTTCCTTTATCTAACTATTTAGCAACTATGTCCCTGCATATTAGGTATTTAAGTCAGTGACTTCAGAGATATTGGTAACTTAAAAACCCTAAAAACACCTTTCTAAAATGTAGAGCATATGTTAACACTTAGTTGCTTAAAATCACTGGCTTTTAGGAGAAAGCTTAGACTCCTTAATTTAGCATATATGGCCTTTTGTGATTGACCTTCATCTACTTTTTCTACTATCCAGCCCCGATGCTTCACACTGAGACATTTTCTATCCCTCCCCTCCAAATATGTGTGATTATCACAGCTCTGTGCTTGTGTGCTATTCCTTTTGCCCGAAATTCCCTTTGCTCCTATTCCTCCAGTGAATTTGGCCTTGTCCCAAACTCTGGAGAAAGCTTTTCCCGCCTGCTGGTCTGCTTACTCGTCTCTCTGGGGTTAACCGTGCATGTTAACCATAAGCACCTCCAGGGCAAGACCCATGCGCTCAGGTCTGCAGCCCGCTCCTGGCACTGGGCCTGGCCATGTCTGACCATCCAGTTGGTCCACTGAGTGAATGAAGATTGGCGGCTGTGTTCCTAACTCGCCTCACAAGCCGCCCTGTAAGTCTGTAGGGCAGATGGCCACCGCCTCAACCCCCTCACCCCTCCCCTCACACCTTTCGCTGTCCTCTCTGCAGTGTCCTGCAGAGCCAGCTCAGGTGCAGGGGGCTGCCTGGCCAACTGTCATCTTGTTGGAGTAGTTCCCCCTTGTTGCCAGAAGGGGGCGCCATAACATAATGTTTACTTTCCTATTCCTATTATTTTAGATTAGGGCAATGAACAGTTACCAGAACGTTAGAAATATTGCTGTATTTCTGTATTTTAAATCTAGGATATTTGCATAGCCTTTTCCCTAGGTATAGAGGTAGACTATCCTAGGAAAACTTATTAGACAGTATGAGAGCAATTTAGAAGATCATTTGTTGTGGTAGGTAGGAGTGGGTGGGGTTTTCAGAGGGTGACTGCATTCCTTCGCCTTCCGTCCTGGTTGCTCTGGGGCTTGACTGCCCTGCTAGTGAGTTAGTGTAATCGGTGATTGCCCAAGTGAGCATCGAGACAGCCTGTCCAGCTTCATTACCAAGCAGTCTGTTTGGTTTTAGTGAAATATTGATATAAACCTTCGTCATTAGGACTGAATTGCTGCTTATACAGCGTAAGCCATAACCCACTTGCTGGAAAAGTCAAGTTTACTTATGTTCTTGCCACTTCCTGTCACTGTTCTCCTTGTGTAGGATTTAAATCTGGCTGTAAAATTGATGTGCTATCAGTTGTCAGAACCACTAAGTTTCTACCAGTCTGTTTCACGTTTATAGTTAACAAACTTTAAATATAACTATTATTATTACTTGCCTTATTTATTTCTTTATTTGGTACCGGGGATCAACTCGGGACCTTGTGCTTGCGAAGCAGGTGGCAGGATCGCCAGCCCTTACTCGCTTTAAATTCATCATTATTAAACATGAAAATGTCATTCCTTGTTGCTATTTAAAAACACTTCCAAATAAAATTCGTACACCTTCGGCGGTCTTATTTCTAGACTGTCCACTGTTGGTTTATAAATAGAAGCGTGAGCACTAAGGTCTCTTAATATAATATTAGGGCTGCTGTGTGTTTAGAGAATGCTGAACACATAGGAGCACTGGCACCATGGATCAGCTCATGGACTTGGTCATCAGAGCAGCCCTCCAGGTGCAGATGCTCTTCTTAGTCCTCTCATGGGAGGATGCCACAGCCTGCAGGGTCAGCAAGGATTGGAGCCGGTGTCTGGCCCCAGAGGCCACCTTTTTATACCCCACTACATCGGCTTCGGACACACAGGGCTTCCCATAACTATCTCCAGAGAAAAATAACACAGGAGTAGTTCGTCTCCTGAAAGATCGGGTGTCCCCTGATGTGTTCTCTTTGCATATTGTGGGAGCTGTTGGCACATGAGCAATCTGGTTTAGACTGGAGACCATTTAGATTGTTTTTAAGTAATCTTTGGTGTTTCCTGTCTTTGTTCTCTATTTTTAGGTTAAAACTTTCCTGGAAAGGTGCCCTATCTTATTATTTTGTGTGTTTCTTAATAAAAACAGAACTGTTAGGAAGAAAGCAAAGAAATCGCCATAAATTGTTACTGGGTTACAGCACCCACGCCTGGCCAGAGCTAGGTTCTCTCTGTTTCCATGACCCTGTCCTGTCAGTGACACAGCTGTCCTCCCACCTCCTCTGTGGCAACATCTCAGCTTTTTGACTCTGTAAATCTTTTCCCACATACCCTGCCTTCACTGCCTGATGCTGAGCCCGTTGCATCACACACACACACACACACACACTCCCCCAGTGCCCTCAGGCATGTGTGACTCACCTGTGTTTCTGAGAGATGAGGTGGCCAAGCCCCTTTGTCTTCTCGATCCCCAGCTCAGCCCTCTTCACTGTTTCCTGCATCACCAGGTCAGGGTAACAGTGCTCAGCCTCGTGCTCGGTGTCCTTTGGCTGTGAGGTTGAGAAACTGCCAGGTGTTTCAGCACCTTCCTGTCTGGGTCCTTCGTTCCCATTCTGAGGTTGGCTGCCTCTGCCTGTGCTCAGCCTTGGTGGTCCCGCTTTCAGTTTTGTGCGTCAGTCACTTGAACTCTGAAGTTGCATCTCTTTGACAACTGGCAGAAGCCCAAGTTAGCTCTCTGGCCTAGCGTTGGGGGCTGTTATAGCAGGAAGGGCCAACTGGCATCCTGAACTCACCTCCCTACTGAGATAGAGAGCTGGGAACAGCACTGTGTCCTGGGGCACCTGGCAGAAACAATGCCACTGTCACAGACAAAGGGCAGGTGTGGTGATGTCTATCACACCCCCTCCTGATTCACTTAGAAAAAGTAGGAACGTCCACTGGGTCTTGACTGTGCACTCAGGACTCAGCTGGGCAGTCGTGAGGGTCAGACTGCCTTGGGTGGGAGATCTTTACACAGAGCTTGTGCCTCTGTGCACCATGGCCCCTGCCCTGGCTGTGCAGCTAGTGACCTAGGTAGTGTGTTTTCTCCATGGTGTGCAAGAATCCCCAGAAGCAGTGTGCTTCTCCTGGCAGGGCCAGAGCTGACCTGCATGGTGCTGTCCCAGGCCTGAGTCAGGCTGCTGCACCAAGCAGGAGTCCACACAGTTAGGCAGCTGGACGGGCTGCTACCCAGCTGCCTGTTGCAGCACCAACTGCTGGTCTCTGAGGAGGTGGAGGAAGCAGCTGCCTGAGATACCATCGAAAGTTACGTGAGCTAGAGGCTGAAGATGGCCCCCCTTAGTCACATCAGCTCCCTCGTGGTCCCGCTAGGGGACAGAAGCCACACCAGTAATTTGAACAGGGAAAATGTAATAATGTGTTATTAACTAGAAGGAGCAACAGAGGACTCTAAAAATGCAAAACTGTGACCCGGACATGCAGCTCAGTGGTAGGACACACTTAGTATGCACCAGGCCCTGGATTCAAGTTCTAACACCAAAAAAAAAGCAGAAATAGCTAATGTGAGAGGTCTGGCTACCACCTTCGGGCTGAGGGAAGGTACTCAAGTGGAGAACACACGGGAAGAACCCTCCCTTCTGGCACGGCTCGGGGTACCTGGGGGGACAGCGCACTTCGGCCCCAGCAGATGGCGCGCTGGGACAGAGAAGTGCAGGGGGAGGGCACCTCGGGCACTGCAGGGGGCCTCCTTTCCTCTCCCAGCCTCCGCCCATCCACACCCTCTGTGCACTGAGAGCTGCAGGCCTGGCTCGTGTGTGTTCCAGTGCACCGATACCTGCACTGCCTTCACGATTTACCATTTACGTCCTCCTCCTTCCGGCGCATCTGCCCTTCCCCTCCCAGCTCTCGGAGAACTCATGGGCACTAATGGGCAGAGCTTTCTGCTTCCCTAATGTGCACATAGAAGCTCCATGTCCCACAGTCACACCTTAGCAGTGCCCCGGTGTTATGATCTTCTGTTTTCCTTATCTTTCAGGTTGAAGTATTTTGTCTCTTTTTCCCTTCATCAGATCGGATGCGTTTTACTGATCTGTCCTCAAGTTTGCTGCTGCTTTCCTTTGTTACCTCTAGTCTGTTGTGAGGGCCACCGGGAAATGTTTGATATCAAATACTTTCTTCTAAAATCTCAGTGCAGCTTATCATTAGGGTTTTTGGTTGTTACTATAATTTCTGTTCAGAGAGTTGCTGTCGTTCATCGGGAGCCTGTTTCCTTTGCCTCACAGAGCGCGGGTCATGGTAGCTGTGTCGACTCCCTGCCTGATGATCCCAGCACTTGAGTCATCCCAGAGTTGGCATCTGGTGATTGTTTATTCCCGTGAAATGGGTTCTCATTTTTCTGGCTCTTCTTTTTAAGTAAGTCTGGACTGTGTCCTGGACACTTCATACCACGCTGCTGCGGCCCTGGACTTTCTTTTGTGGCTCTAGAAGGTGGTGCCGAGAGTCTCAGATGCAAAGGCAGGCTCCTGAGCCTGCTCCGGCAGCTCAGGGCTGGTGGGGTTCTTCAAGCTGCCTGCAGGCACCCATGGTTTTCAGGTCAGAGATTTCCATCGAGGGATTCCTCCTTCCTCTCCCTTTTAGGGTTCTCTGCTCAGCCCTTGGTGATCATGGTTGCCCTAAGATCCTTCATCCTGATTCCCAGTTCCTGAGGCCAGAGATGCCCGGGTTTAGTGCCCACAGCTGCCACCCCTGGGCTGCCTTCAGAGAAAGCTACTGAGGAACAGGCAACTCACTCCTTGTGGGTTGCTTGCTCAGCTTTCAGTTTCTTTCCAAAATCTGCCTGCTATTGTTGGTATCTGTGCATTTCGGGAAGTGTGTTCTGTCTTTTGTCCCGAGCCACTGGCTGATCTTTGCACCAGTGCTGTGCTGAGAAGCAGACACCTCTTGAAAACATGCTTGCCTTTCCTCCTCTCCTCTCTGATTGAGAGCCGAGTGTCTCCCCCTCCTCTCTAGGGCTCTCACCTCTCCCTCCCTGTCCTTCACCTCTCCCCGAAGCTGACTGCTGTGATCCATTCTGTATTTTAAAGTTCTCCGGGGCACTCTTGCTTCTGAGGTATCAAAGGGACCCTGCAGCCTGCAAGTACTGACAAGCCCAAGTTTGACAGCATTGTACCTGAGGCCTAGTACTGCCCTCACTTAGTGATGTCTAGGTCCTGGGCACTGTGCGAAGTCCTCACTTCACCCTTGAAGCACTCATCAGAGGCCGGTGATGGTGTCCGGCGTGCCCACTTCACAATTGAGGAAACCAAGCTGGCATAGCTAAGCCGTCCAAGGCCAGTGAGGTGATAAACAACACTCAAAACCACAGGCCTTTGGGGCCAGGGATTTAGCTCAGTGGTGCCACTGCCTGCTTCACAAGCACAAGGTCCTGAGTTCAATCCCCAGTATCAAAAAATAAAAAATAAAGTAAAACCACAGGCCTTTATACTTGTTTTATAAGCAGCAGCAGCAGCTAAATACATGATCCAGTTAAATTTTCAGGTTCTGTTTCACTTGAAGTTTTAGCATCACAAAAACTAAATGACCTCAGCTGAATTTTTTTCTAACCAGGAACTCTGTGTCACTGATCCGCTTAGGATCATCTGTCTAGACCAGAGTCTTCGGTTTCATGTAGTTACCCAGAGGTGAATTATGCTAAGTTCTCAACCCCACAGAGCAGTTCTGAAGCAACACTGCTGCGAAGGGCTCTGGGATGCCTTGCTGATGCCTCATCCCACTGCTGCACACTGCTGAGCACGTCCCGGGCCCACTGCAGGTGAGACCTGGTGTTGCCCCTTGGCCTTCCTTCCTTCCTCAGAGCCTGGACTCCAGTGCCGAGGCTGTTATTTATGTTCAGCCCCGAAAGTGTGGCATGTGAGCAAGCCAGATATCTTTCAAACTTTCTTTTTCAAAGGCTTGTTCAGATCTCCATTTTTACTTTTCAATGAGGGCTCTTAGTTTTTCCATTTTCCTTTTTTATTGGAGGCATCTGGGAAACAAGGACCAAATTCATAATTCTGGCCCCAGCAAATTGCTGCATATGCTCAGGGTTCAGATGTTCAATGAATCAAATGTTAGGAGAAGGTATTTAGAAATGTGACACCTTAACATTGTTCGCCACTTAGGGAAAATCATTTTGTTTCCTTGTCTTTTAAAATCAAAATAATAATAATAATTATAATAATAATCTGGGAAGTGTGTTCATTGAAGTAAAAGTAGTGTTCTTTGCAAAATAATTTTCCATTGGTATTTGACATTGACGTACTCTCACCCTAAGGTGCTGGCCCATTTGGTTGGTTCTTAGCAGAGTTGGGGGCCGGGAACACCACCCACCCATAACACCTGCGCGTGCCGGTGACAGGCAGCCTGGTGTCTGTGTGCTCCTGGGGCCCTGCTGACGTCTGCTGTGACCTGGCCATGCCCGTGGCTGCTAACAGGAAATTGTTCGGTCACCTTGCCCTGAGTGAACACTACTGCAGGTCAAAGTCTAGATTTTTTAAAAAGAAAGGTGGGGGGACCTTTTATTGTGGAATAATTTTCACTTGTAGAAAAGTTGCATAAATAGTCTAGGAGTTCCCATTCGCTTGGTTTCTCCTAATGTTAGCATCCTCCATGACCAGCGTGCACATGGACGTCAGACCTGGGCCATGTACACTGCGAAGCAGAACTAGACCAAGACACTGGAGCCTACCAGCTTTCCCACTAACATCTTCCCCCCTGCTGCAAACCTCTGGGGCTGCCAGTGCATTCCACTGCTGGTTATTGCTCAGGCTTTTTCCCAGAATGTCTCTGATTAGATCAGTGTCATAATCTCACGGTTAGGCTGGCATCTTGGTGTTGGCAGTGTGCCTTGGCCACACCCTAGGGGCCATCGTACGACCTTCTCTGTGTCCCATCAGGGAGAACGTGTCACCGAGCTTTCCTGCTGGGCCTGGTTGAGGTAGTGTCTATTGGCTTTCTTCACTGGAAAGTTAGTGGTCTTCTCATTATAATTAATCAGTATCTTGAAGGATATAATTTGAGCATATGCGAAACTGCTGCTTCTCCTTACGGTTTCACCCCCTCATTTTGGTGTCCTTTGGTAGATGTAGGCTGCTCACTGTTACTGCGGTTTTTGCCTACAGTGATTTTTTTTTTTGTTTCCCTTGCTCCGTCTACATTTATTAATTGGAATTCTTCTGTAAAGGAAACCTGTCCCTTCTCCCTAGTTTCTAAATTTATTTCTATTAATAATGGCTCCTGGATTTTTTTTTTTATTCTATGAATTGCGAATCCAAGCCTCTCATTTCTTTCCTCACTCAAACTGTCCCAGCCCTAGCCTCAGGAGCACTTTCCTCTGGGCTCCTGGAGCATGGGATGAACCTCCTGTCTCTTAAAGCACTTCCTGTCTGGCACGGCAAGATGCTCCAGGTTCATCTTGTATTTTCTCTGTCTCAGCTCTGGAATCAACCATTTCTTCCTGGAGCTCTGGATCCTTTTAATGCTTATTAAATTGATTTTCAACAGAGACGCCAAGGCAGTGTACTGGGAAAGAAAAGCCCTAAGCAGACAGTGCTGGAACAGCTAGCTCTCTGTGTGGAAAATAGTGAGCTTTGACTCATGCTTTCACGAAAACACTTGAGATGTATCACAGGCCTAAATGTGGAAGATAAAGCCATACAGTGTCCAGAAGAGTGCACAGGAGAAAGATCTTTGCAAGCTTGGGGGAGGCAGAAATTTCCAAGGACACAGAACACATGACCATAAAAGAAGAAAAGAATACATTGGAAGATTCCATTAAGAAAATGAAAAGGCAGATTGTATTTTTAGGGGGAAGTATTCGTAATACATGTATCTAACAAAGGATTTGTATTCACCAAATACAAAGACTCTTGAACAGTGACTTCATGAAAGAAGGTAAAGTGACCAATAAGTGCATACAGAGGCACTCAGCTCAACATGACCAGTCTTTTTGTTTGTTTGTTTGGTTGGTTGGTTGGTTTTCGGCTTTTTGAGACAAGGTTTCCCACTGTAAACTCACTATGTAGCCTAGGCCGGCCTTAAACTTGTAGCGATCCTCCTGCCTCAGCCTCCCAAGTGCTGGGATTATAGGCATGTGCCACCACACCTGGCTCAACATTATTAGTCTTAGGGAAATGCATGCTATTAAAATGGTTAAAATTTTTAAAAGACTGACAATACCAGATATAATAATGCCGAGCAGTCGGAATTTTCATGTGTTGATAATTGGAATGCAAAAGGGCACCACACTGGAAAGAGTTGGTCATATTTTCATTGCATAGCATATACCCTTTCCCCAGAACCCAGAATGTGTAATTTAAGTCCACGAAAAAGACTCGTACCCTAGCATCCACCACTGCTTTATTCACAAGTAGCCTGAACTGGAAGCTTCCCAGTGGCCCTCAGCAGGTGAGTGGATGAATAGGTTCCGGCCTTCTGCACAGTGGAGTCCTACTTAGAAATACAAGGAGCAAATAGGTTACTGGCGTAAGCAGAGCACGGGTGGGCAGAGTCTCAGGAACTGGCTGAGCAGAAGCAGCAGTCTGGCAGTGCTCCCTCCTCACCATGCGACCTGCAGCACAGGCAGGGTTAGTGCAGTGACAGGAAGCAGCGGAGCCCAGGGAGTGGAGCGTGGAGGCTGGCGCAGCGCCCGGCACCTGACCGTGTCTCTGTTAGTCTTTCTAAATACTGTGGTCCCGCTTTCCATTTCCTTAACGTGGCCTCGGCTCTCTCTCCAGGTGGATCTATCTTAATGACCAGAACTTATGCATCCCCGCCAGCTCCTCCTTTGTTTACGGGGCCGTGCCCATAGGAGCCAGTATTTATGTCATTGGAGACCTTGATACAGGTAAGGGTGCCGCAGTGCTTTTCTTGGAACTGTTTCCGAAGAATCAGCGGCAGGTCACCTTACCTTTGCCTCCTGTCTCTGTTTAGGTACTAACTATGACTATGTGCGTGAGTTTAAAAGAAGCACAGGGACCTGGCACCACACAAAACCACTCCTTCCATCTGACCTGCGCCGCACCGGGTGTGCAGCTTTACGAATTGCAAATTGCAAGCTTTTCCGCCTGCAGCTTCAGCAAGGCTTATTCCGCATTCGTGTCCACTCGCCTTGAATAGGAAGCAGAGCAGGACGTGCAACCCTGTGCTGAGTGCGCCATTGCGTAGCTGGACGTGACGGAGACCCGAGGTGCAGCCAAAACTTGCTCTGTGTGCTGGGCTTTGGGGTGGTAACTGCAGTGGTCTTGGAAAGCTTAGGGGCTTGAGCTTCTGCTCTGGTTGGGAGACCATGTAACTTCAAACACTACCAGAGGAAGCAGGTCCTCAGGTTAGCTGTGTCCACAGATCATGGCGGGTAATGATGTCCCAAGGAGGAGAGAGTGGGAATGGGGATGAGATCCAGTAGCAGAGCTAAACCCTATGGTGCATTTTCCCTGAAGGGAACTCCTATCTGACTGCTATGTCCAAGGTACGTGGCTATGGAAAACAAACAAAACAACCCATATATGCAAATCAACATATCCACACATACCAAGATTGCTTTTCTACTGCACTTGGAAGGATTTATTATGCCTCTCCCCGCCCAGTGAATTAGTCTGTGCCTAAAATGTTAGATTGGACTCTGTGCCAGTTAGTCTCTATTACTAGTGCTCTGTCTTAAGAATTTTTTTTAAAACTGTTATGATGAATTGACACTAAGATAAAATCTCTCTTACAGTGTTCTGTCTTAGCAATGTCAAGATTCAGTAAGTTGATTGTCAGGTTGCAGCCTTCATGTGAACTGACAGGAAGTTGCTAACCTCTCGGTCACTTTTTGATGAAGACATGTCATGCTATAATTTCTAGGGCAGTCCTTTCGGAGTTGTGAAGGAGCTCATGCAGTACCATTCTTCCTTTTATAAAAATGAGAATATTAGTGGGTAGGAGATTTTATAAAAGAAAGACCTGAGTTAGACAAGTAATCAGAGTCTGCTGACTTCAAAAAAAAAAAAAAAATCTGTCCAGATGAAATGCATAGGGATCAAACCTTTTTTAGTATAATCTGAAAGCACACAAAGTCTTGTTTACTACTGTCTGGGATTCAAAAACTTGTTTTAGAATGGGAGTTTGTGTTGAAAAGCTAGGCTCTGTAATAGAATGTCCCCAATGCTGTTCCCTGGTGTTTTAGACAAATTATGAGCAACGTTTGGCTGGTAGAATAAACTACCTCAACTTAATTTCATTCTGTTCTTAGTAGAGCAAATTCCTCTTTCCTCTTTCCCTCCTTTCCTGTTGCTCATTCCTACCACAGCCCTCTCCATCCTCTCCCCTTTATGGGGAGAGAATTCTCTCATTGGTGGAACTTATCTTGTAAGACATTTTATTTTCCATTCAAATTATACCACTTTGGTGTGAAATCAGGGACTTCAAAGTGCTTGATTACTTCATAGTTTGGATTTTATGCAATATCAAATTTCTAATCAATGTAATATAGAGTACTTCATTTCTAATTGTTTTCTACAGCTTTATTTCCTCTTATAGTATGGCTCTAAGAAGCAACATTTTGTCTTACTGATGAATAAATGTATAAATACTCCCATTGGTTGTAAATTTGGGAGCAGGAATTTCTCCTCTGAACTTCCCATGTGGAATGTTGTATGCTGTAATTGTGCACAGGAAACATTGCTTATGTTTTCCCACCTATGGTCGTGAAGAGGGTGACCCAGCTGCACTTTTCTTTCTTACACCTGCTGCAAGTCAGGCAACACCACACAGGTTGCTGAAAGAGGCCAGGCCTGTGGGGTTCTAAGGAATGGCAGATGTGGCGCCTTAACTGTATTGTGGCCAGAAGGTTTTGACAAGAGAAGGTATAGCGTTTTTACCTTATGTCCCTGGGGTACTGGGCCAGACGGGCCACGCACTCGTGCAAGCCAAGCCAATCCAGTGTCAGTCAAAGCCGGGTTTCGAATTGTACATCATTAGCCAGCTGTTGTCTGCGCATTCCCCCCCCACACACACCTTCGGACAGCTTTCCATCACAGCAAGCTGAGTCCACTCCAAAGAAGGAGCACTTTCCTTTTACGATTAGGCATTAGCTTAGAGGAGATAAATTGCTGGGAAGTGCATTTGCTTTGGTGGCGTAACCCCCACGGCACCAGGGCTTGGCGTTCGGGAGCCGCAGCTGGGGACTTGAAGTAGGAACTGGCGCCCCGTAGGTTCCTGCCATGCGGGTCAGCAGTGCTCCGACCTCAGCTCCCGCAGTTCCGGTTCCTCCCGGGCCAGAGCTCTCCGGGGAGGCCGTTCATCATCTAGGAGTGAGTGGGTCCTGCTGCAGCCTTAGCAGTGCCTGTGTGACTTGTAAGTTCTCTTGGACACTTTTTATAAAATTCAGTTCGTTTACATTGTAGATGCAGAATTTAATGTTTTATAAAGTAAATTTGCCATTGAATATGGATGCAATAACCGACAAAAGCTGCTAAGTGCCAAACTTCTGTTTTACTTTACATAGATTTAAAAGTTATGTTGGAGTGTAGGGCTTTATTTAACTTTATTATGTTCCAAAACTAACCAACTTTTTTGTAAATTATACTTATTTCAGTATTGTGAAATGAGTTGTAACTCATTTCATGCAGGTTTGTGTTTTAACATTCCACTTACGCCTTGGAACATCATTTCTTGGTAAATCTTCTGTAGTTCTTTCTCCACAGTGCACTTTGGCCAGGTGCGTGTTGCCCTTGGCAGCTGAGGACAGGTCGGAAGTTGTCTGTGCAGTGTCTTTGGGGGTGCAGGCGGTGGGGGAGGGGAGCTCTGCAGTCCAAAAGGTGTTTGTTTGTTGCTTTGTTTAACGCATCCAAACAGATTTTTTTAAGCTTTTAATTTGAATTGAAGTGTTCTGAGAGCGCATGTATCCTGTGAGAGGCGTGAGAGGTGAGCAAGGTGAGCTTGTATGCCGTGCTCTGTGACCTGATGTGTCTGTGTTCACCTTGGACCTGTAGTTCCGTCCTGCACGCATTACTGTCTCCTGGTGCTTCAGATGAACCCTCGAGCCCTGACCTTCGTCTACACTGTGGTGTTCAACTCATGATTGTAAATGTGAGAAAATGTGTCATGCACAGTAAGTTTTGCCTGGTGTTGGCATTTCTCTTCGTTACCGGGGTTGAAATCAGCATTTACAGCTAGGAGTTGGTACAAGGTAAAGATGTGGCCTGAGAGTTTTAGCTTCGTGTCTCTCTGCTGTGAGGAGGTGATCACTCATGTAGGCTTTTCAAACTGTGTGGCAATCAAAAAAGGCTGCTGGGTGTGTGTGTCCTGTCGCCCCGCGTTTTATAGTGGGGGTGAGGAGGAGACTCCCTGGCCAAGTGCAGGGAGTGCGTCCTTCATCCTCGTGAGGAAGGGGGCACCAGGTACTGCAGGGCAGTGAGTGAGGTTTTTAGGGATGTCGCCCACGCTCTGTCAGGCCCCTGCTCCATTCCTACACTGTGCTTCCAAGCAGGGAGCCCAGAAGTGTCCCAGAGAGAGCCAGGAGCTGTGCGGTGTCTCCTCCGCAGCGCTGCTTCCCCGATGACATTCGGTACCAGGCAGGACGACAGCTGCTGTCCCTCCAAGGATGCCCCTGGAGCCGCGAGAGCCGAGGAGCCCGCCTGGCTCAGGCCACAGGCGTCTCGCCACCTCCCTCGCCCATGGTAAACTCATTGGGCTCTGGGCAGGGCCCCTGTCCGTGTCACTGCTGGGATCTGCCTGCGTGTGGTAGGGGGTGCATCACTGTTTGGTGAGTGAAGATAGAATCCTCTTGGTCAAAGTGATGCTCTTCACTGGATGGAAACGCAGTTTTGCTGGATTTCATTTATTTATTTATTTATTTATTGGTACCGGGGATCGAACTTGGAACCTTGTGCTTTCGAGGAAGGCGGTGGAACCACTGAGCTACATCCCCGGCCCTTGCTGGATTTTAAATGAAGAGCGTTGTGCACCGGGGCTGGCCTTGGGTAGAGTAGGAAGCTAGCATAGAATAAAAACTACAAAGTGCCTGCTGCATATAACACAAGCCTGTGTTCCGCATGCGCCCTGGGACCCCTGAGACCCGGGCCCAGGACCCCGAACTCCCCCGTGCCCTGAGCAAGTCACACAGGTGCTGGCTGACAGGCGTGGGTTTTGTCAGTGAGCCACAGGACCTGTGACCATTCAGCAGGGCCAGAGAACAGAACCCGGGGTGCCCGTCTGAAAGACATGGGGCAGCCCGGTCAGGAGCACGGCAGCATCTTCCCGTGCCAGCCCACCCCATCTGTAGGGGAAAGACTTGACCTTGAGGGTTGAGGACAGCGGTTTTGCTGGTTGAGAAGCCCTGAGAAGCCCTCATCTGCTCCCTGGAAATTAAACACTGCTTGAGGGCGCACTCACGCCCACAGCCCTTCTGCCGCCTGGAGAGAACAGGAACTTGGGTGGGGCCTGCCCTGCTGACCTGCAGCTCTCAGTGGTGCTGAACTAAAATCGTTCTCTATTTTTTTTGCTGGTAAAACTTTTTAAAGTTTTATATTTTTCAGGAGTAATTCTGTTGTTATTTTAGTTTTACATAATAGTTGCACTTATGTGAGGTGAGGAGTCTGTTTATGCTTCTGAACCCCTTGATTGGAGGGGAAGCATACAATGTAGGGACGTTTGCCCTTTTTCAGCTCTTGTCATTGGAATTCTCCAAGTGATTGCATTTTTTTAACTCTTTCCCTTTCTTGTGAAACCAAATATCTGATAAATAAAACTATGTGATTAATTACTTAATGAGAAATGCCTGCTTTTGATTTTGGAAAAACAACCAGTCTTTTTAAATTGCTATCCAAGTGAATTTGGCCTGATGATAAATTTTGATAGACATTCTCGTAGCCCAGCACCGTTGCTGAGCTTCCAGCTGTGCACTGTCATGAGCAGATGTGCATTGTGATTCTTAGGGCACTGCAGTTTGGATTAGAGAAGCCCAGGAGGGTGGCAGTGATGCCCCACAGAGTTGGGGACACACCACAGAGGCAAAAGGGGCAGTCAGCCAGGTCAGGTAAGGAATGGCCTCTTCGGCCAGGAGCAGGAGCAGAGACGCGCCTGTAATCCCAGCACTCTGGGAGGCCGAAGCAGTAAGATGGTAAGTTCGAGCCCAGTGTGACCCTGTCTCAAAACAAACAAAAACAAACAGAGGAGATGGGGATGTAGCACAGTACAGACCCTGGGTTCAATCCCCAGTACAGAAAAAAGAAACAAATGGCCATTTATTTCAAATGATTCAAATCTCAAGTCCATACAGGGTCATTTTCTTGAGTTCGGCCCTCTTTTTAGTGTTTTGATACAAATAGGTTTAGATACCTTGTTTTTACTTATACTCATCAGACTTGAAAGATGTTCCTTGGAACTTTGGGTTAGACTTTTCCAGTTACACCTGAGAACTTGATTTACATACGACTCCACATAGCTGTCTTTATCATGTTTCCTGTTTAATTGGATAAGAATTATATGCATTTACTCCCCTGTTCTTTGTGTTTGTAGGAAAACTGTTCTCAGCTACCTCATTATGTAGTGTTGTGCTTGATCCCCTGCCAGAGCAGAAGAATTCAACACTTTTGTCCTTAACAAAGGCCTGGAAGCAAGCAGTGAGTGGCCTTGAGGAGTACAGTTCTCTAAGGCATATTTTCCACTTTACTACTTTTTTTAGAATAGGCACTTTTAATCAGGAGGAACAATAATTCTCCTCGAACTACTGCAAAATGACTACTTGAAACTCAACATGAACTTTAAAGAGTCTTTAAAAGGGTCTGTTTTCATATAGCAGGAAGGGAGTCTATTTAAACACCACCGCTGTGTGAAATAGAGGGCTTAATTTCCCTGCTTGTTAGGGTCAGAAAGGAAAATGCGTCTCTCTGCCATTGGACCCCGGGTTTGGAGCCCAGGTGCTTGAGACCACTGATTTTCCTTTCCTGTCAGGTGCTCTTGTCTCCCAGGAAGCTCCCATTTGGATAGGAATATTCCTGTCTCTGTCAGTTCTAACAGCCCAGGACTTTACAGTTAGAACCTGAGGCGTTTCTGCAGTACGAGTTGGAGCCCAGCCACGCTACACAGAATTGCATTATGCTGAAGTGGTGAAAGATGGCTCTGCCCCGAGCCCCTCGTGTCAGGGGAATGTCCCCAACTCCCTGCGCCTGTGCCTTCTCCACGCCACACGTGAGAGGCCTTCCTGCTGCATCTGTCAGCTTACCCAGTCCCTAGGGCCCCAGGTCAGGCGGGAGGCCCTGAGGGTGCAGCAGCTGCAGGCAGACCCTCCCTCTGGGAGCAACCTCCCCTCTGACCCGACCCGGGAACCACACGGCCTCCTTCAGTGGGGGACTTTGATGGTCCTCAGTGGTCAAGAGTTATACCCAGCCTCAAGCCTGCAAATATTCAGAATAACTTAACTTCCAGTGAAATCTAAAATTTGGCTGTCTTTATTCATTACTAAGACCTAATTTGAACACAGGGCATGGTGGTGAATGCCTCTAATCCAAGGGCTGTGGGAGGCTGAGGCAGGAGGATCACATGTTTGAGCCCAGCCTGGGCAGCTTAGTGACTTAGACCTGTTTCAAAATTTAAAAGGACTGGGGTGTAGCTCAGTGCGAAGGTCCTGGCGTTCAATCCCCAGACTAAAAAAAAAGAGAGAGATTGTATAGTTGTGCTTTTCAGAGTGAGCTGCTTGCTCATGGGGGGATGGGGAAGCTTCTCAGACGACAGCGACTGCGCCCCCTACCGGCCCGGCAGCAGACCCAGACCCTCCCCAAGATTGTTCTTCCCTTCTTCTCCAGGGGTGGTGCGGGGTCTCCCTGGATGCTTAGGTGCAAGTCCTCTTGAGGAGCTGACCCAGCGGTCGGGGCGTGGGCTCTGGGCTCAGGAGCCTCGAAGTCCGCTTCCTCCCTGTCCCGGCGGGCGCCATGGGCCATCCCCTCTGGGGTGCATCGGGCGAACTCTCCCCTGACTGTCCCCGGCCTTGCGGCCACTGCATCCACTGTCTGTGCTACGAATGACACAAGGATTGTCTTTTCTCTGTGTGTTTATGAAATTACTTACTTCTGTACCTGTGTCCCCCTTCCGCATCTCTAACCGTATTCTGATAACTCTTGATACCTGAAACACCCCAGAAAGGCGTGTTTAGCGGATTGAGCGTTGTGATAGCCTAATGAGGTCCATTAATAACACTTAAAATTCTTTACCATAGTTGAATCTTTCTTTTGACTTTCACTAAAATATTGGCCAAACTCTTTTCTTGATCTCTGAGATCAATAGGCCTAAACTATACTTTCTTCCCTTGAATATTATACAAAACTTAAAACTAAGCAAGCAAATCTGCATCACGTGTTGTGGGGGGGTATCTGGACCTTCAAATAGAGAAGGTCATTGACAGTGACCCCAAAGTGAATTCCTGAGCCCCTGTACACGGCACCCCTTCAGCTGGGTCTCGATTCTGAGGCTGGCGGATTCAGCTGCATGTGCCATGCCCGAGGTCAGGGTGGCAGGAGGTGTCAGAGCCCTTCCTGGTGTCTCCTGTATAAGCGAAGGAGGGAACTGGGCTGGCAGGGTGACAGCAGCAGGCACACAGTCAGACCCAACCTCGTGGTCAGCGTCGCCTCATCCTTGTGCCGTTTCATCGGTGACTGCTGTAGAAGGGGGGCCACTGTGTGGCTCGGAGACCACAGGCCCCTCAGTGCCTTGCCTGGGGTGGACAAAGACAGTGGGCTGCACACACAGGGAGGAGGTGGCTGGGTCAGCAGCTCTGGCTCTGGACCAGGCCTCGAGAGTGAGCAGGGCCGAAGGCCTGTCCCTGCCCTCTGAGGGTGACAACAGGGTGACAGCCGGCTGAGCTTTGGGTCTATTGTAAGGGCGGGGTCTGCGCACCCACCGAGGGAAATTGGGGGAGGGAGCTGCCTTGCAGTGACCCAGTGTCTCCTAGCGCACCCGTAAGGCGGCCCTGTAGCAGCAGAACAGCCACCACAGGCTCCACCTTGAGTCCACGGCACTGTGGCAGCCCCTTCTCCGTCTACACCCAAGCGTGTGGGTTCTCCAGCTTCGCCCCTCATTTCCAGGGCACTCCCTAAACCCGCTTGTCCGGTAGGCCCATGCTTCCTGCACTCATGCTCCTCCTCCTGACCCTCGCTGCCCGACAGACTGGACAGAGCCGGGAGCTGGGCCTCATGCTGTAGTCCCCATGCCACCTGCCTCTGGTTTCATCTTGTGCCCCTGAGCTCTGGGGGGAGAGGGCGGGCTGGGATCGCAGGGAGCGGCCCGCAGTCACTCGCTCTCGTGATCTTTGACTTGAGCTAGCGTTGGTTTCTTTCTGTGGCCACCCAGAGGTGCTGCCAGGACCCATCTCGGGGAACATTGGCCCTCACCACGGTGGTGCATCTTCCTCTGCCAGTTTGGGGACTTGCATCCCATCCCGGGGAGGAGGGTATTGTGCTCCTCTTGATGAGAACGTTCTTATTTACTCTTCTCCTGGCTGTCAGCTCGCCACCTGCCCTGTTCCTCCATCCCATACTTCTCCTGGCCTGGTTTCCTAACTGGTTGAGTTATGCAGTAAAGAAAAGAGGAAAAGAAGGGACATGAAAATCACTCTTCTGGTTCCTCAGACCACATTGTGTCCAGAGCGTCAGCTTCCCGGGACTGGTGGAGGTGCCGACCTGTCGCCCGGGCCCAGGAGTTTGCCGGACCCAGCCCTGGGCCTGAGGGCTGCCCTCCCTCTGTCCCTGCCCTGAGCAGCTGTAGCCTAGGGCAGCCACCCTCCCTGAGCGGACAGGCCCGGCCTTACCTACTACCTCAGCACCAGCACCCAGTGCAGCGCTGTGTGGCCCCAGCTGCCCAGGGAGCCAGGCTCAGGCCCCAAGTCCCCTTCAGAACTCGAAACTCTTCCTAAACAAGCGCCATGCTGCTTCCGCTGCAGGAAGCCTCGGCGGGTCCTGGGTCCTGGGTCCTGGCTCCTGGTGCGTGTTCCCTAGAGCAGCCTGGTACCATTGTCTCCTCCTCTGTTATTAAGCTCTGAGTTAAACACACCCTGCACTTCAAATTGGGAGCCGAATCTGAAATCAGAACTCTTGTTTACAATGAAAGACCACCTTCTCATATTTTTGTCAGAAGAAATTTTTGCTTCAAAAGAAATTCCAGAATATGTTTCTTATTATCCTAGCATAGTTCATTGAACTTGACTCTGATCTTTAGAGAAAAATCATGGAGGATGTGGTACATGGAGGGAAAGAGTGTTACCAGCTTTAGGAAATAAATAAACCTTCAATCTCTATGCATTGCAACATCTAACAAATTTTCCATGAACGTAATCTGAATTCTGGAGGAGTAAATAGTTTACCGTTGGGCAGTGGATTGAGTGGCCTTGAGTTGAGAAAAGCACAGGCTATTTTATTTAGCAAAACTTGCTTACCTGAGTAATCCGTAGCCTTTTCTGCATGGTGTTTGCTTCCTCTGGATCTCACTTGTAACTGGGCTTTTGTTTGGCTCCTCCTTCCCTGCAGCCCCCAGTTGAGGTGACAGAGGAGTGCTATTTATTCAGTGTTGTTTTGTGTCACACCCTTTGTGGATTGTGACCACCATGAAAAAAAGTGGCAGAAACGCTGAGCACCATTGCAGCGGGCTCTATGGTTTGCACCATTGGAGCCCAGAGTCTGTGGGTCCCCCAGGCCTCCATCCTTGTCAGGATGCTGTGTTGCATCGCTATGTCCCCCAGGATGAGGGTGTCTACCCCAGCTGTGAGTGAGCCCGACCCGCAGCACACTGCACCTGTGGAGATGTGTTTGGTTTTTGTCACCGGTGTGGGTCTTAGGCTACAAGAGAAATCTGTCAAGGAAACTCCTTAAAACAGGGCTGTAAACTCAGCTGGACACTACCAGATTTGCAGTGGGCCTGGTCCCACAGGACGGCCAGCCCCGCTGCTACCACGCCTGCTGGGGTGTGCGGGGCAGCTAGTGCGTGACAGTCACCCACCCCAAGAACTGGTTCTTAGCACGCTCTTGATTTGTCGTTTTGGATGCATTTAATAGCATAAGGAAAATTCCATAAAAACCATAGAAATTCCAGGTTCCAAATATACCATGCCCAAGTCCATCTTGTTAAACACAAATCTGTTTAATATATCTGTGTTTTCTGGCATGGTACATGTAGATGGTTTTTAATTTAAATCCGGGAACCTTTACTATCTAGTAAAGTTCCAAGTTCCGAGGTCTGCTTTGACGTGTATTCAGATGAGGGTGTTTTATGTGTGGTAAAGTATCTTCTTAAATAGTTCTCGTACGGAAAAACAGGGATTTGCAATGAACATACATAAGTTAAGCACATTATATATATAAGTTAGCACATTATTAAAGTTCAAAATATCTGAAGATTGCAACTTGTAAAATTGTACTCCCCGAATTCAATGAGATAGTAGAGCAATTGTGCTAACTTGATTTTGTTGGAATGCCACTTGTCTCATATCCTGTGGTCCAAATGTTGTATCGGTTTATTCTGGGGGGTAATCTATTCTTTTGCTGGTGTGAAATTTGGCAAAGTCAGAAATGATTTCTAATTCTGTAACCTTTGGTACAAAGTTGCTTTATGGTTTACAAGTAACCTGTTAACTCTTAAATTAAGCAGCACGCACTTTGTTTCTACACAGGTGTGGTGGGGTAACTGTGGGCCAGACCTGTCCCCTGGGGAGAGCGCGCATTGCCACTGTGCTGTTCCCTGGTACCAAGGCACAGTGAGCGTGTTTTATCTTTTTTACGTAGTTTGTATTGACTGGATTTTATAACTGTAAGAAAACAGAGTGTTGTATTTTGATCTGAAATTTGTTGTATGGTAAAAGTAATTTTCTTTTCTGTATTGGAAGTTCATTTAAAACTTGAAATATTTTCTAGAACGGTACTGAACAAAATAAATTGTCTTTAAGCTGTTTAATTAACCTAATAAAAGAACTTGATGGGGAAGGCGTGCTGATTATTTCCGGTTGGTAAGAGTGGTCCCCGCTGCAGTGTGGCCGCAGTGAGACTCGGTCCTCAAAAGTCCTGTTGGTGCTTCGGGCCGTGACTCCCACCGCCTGGGTGTGAGGCCGGGGTCAGAAGAAGCCCTTGTTGGCGTTGTTGCCTCTGTCTCCCACCTCTCCGAGAAGGTGTGTCGTCTTCCCCCAAAGACGGCCTCCCAGGTGCCTCCTCTGTGGAGGGAAGCTGCAGGGTGGAGGGGCTGGAGGCGGGAGGTTTACTGCGTGTTGCAAAGTAAATTCCCCCAGATTTCCTCTTGCTGCCAAGACTGACCCTACAGAACTGTCAGGCAGGTCTGCACCTAGGGCACAGGGCAGCGAGTAGGCCTCCCGGGATGGTCCCTTCCGAGTCGCCTGCACCTGCACGGGGCTAAGGAGCATTCTCCTTGGGAGCGGGGGCAGCTTGGTGCGGGCACCTCCTTAAAGTCCCAGCTGGAGACCCAGGCTCAGGGCACGGGGACGCGGTGCGGTGTGGCGGGGGCCTGGGTGCCAGCCCCCCCCCATGCCCAGTGCCCTGCCAGCAGCCCGGAGTCCCTGGGACTCAGTGTGTTTTGTCCTGGCTGCGCCCGGCGCCAGCTGGAGGCCTCCATTCTGGTGCCTAGGTCGGGCCCTCGGTGGACTTCCTGTCCCAGGGGGACGGGGGCCACCCGGACCTTGTGTCTCTGAGACCTTCTCCCTGCCCCACATCCCCAGTGCCAGGCGGAGGGCCGACCTTGCTGGCGTCACGTAGTGGGGTGTCCACGGTGCAGGGGGACTGTCACTGTCCTCAGACAGGAGCCCACTCTCCTGTGGGACAGGGACTTGGCAGTCCATCCTCACAGCCAGCTTTGAAGAAGGCAGGGCTGCTCCCGATGTCTTCCAGCAGAGAAACTGAGGCACGGAGGAGTCACCTTGTCAGCCCCAGGGCCCGGTGGAGGGGCAGAGCTGGGACCGAAGGCCACTTCTGATATCCACACCCACGGTGACTCCGCGGCTCCGCCTGTCTCTGGAAAGGGATGGACTTTTTCTTTCTTTTTTTTTTAAACAAGCTCTCACTCCGTCACCCAGGCCCGTCTTGAACGTCTGAGCTCAAGCTGTCCTCCTGCCTCAGACTCCCACACTGGCTGGAATTGACTCTTGAAAGCTGCGCTGCTGACCTTGAAACTGCAGCCCCTTCTGTGTGCACATCCTGGGTGTGGGCCAACTGCAGGGCGCAGGCTGGGCTGGGCCTCCCACTGCTGTGTCTGCCCCACCACACGGGTTTTCTTTCATCGTTACTGCTGGTGTATGACTGACACATAACAGCTCCATTCACCCTTTGGGCCGGAACTGCACAACGCCGATCGCGTTGACCCCTCCTGCCCCCACAGACCTATTCTTGTCATCATCCCTAGACAATGCTTGCATGATATCAGCACCTAGAAGCGACCAGAAGTCCGCAGGGAGCAGGTGGACACTGGGCCGTCCACGTAGGAGATCTGCCTGCCCCCATCGAGGTCCGAGGCCGAGCCCCGGGAGGTCTTCCTGTCCCCACTCCACAGCTGAGAACGACGCCAGGGGCGGACCGGACCCGGTGTGCTGGCACTCTGGCTGTGTCCTGGCTGCTGCCCTTCCCCAGTGCCATCTCTGTCGCTGGCCACACACAGCAGGACTGGGACCAGTGAAGCCTGCTCTGCTCCCACAGCCCCAGACGTGGCCAATAGCACCCAGAGCCCGTGGGAGTTCGCACAGCTGCTGAAAGCACCTTGTGACCCCTAACCCTGTGGTACACAAACAGTGTCCCCGACCTCACTGCTGTCCATGTCCTCATCCTCATCCCAGAACCAGCGAGCCTGTTACCTGGCTTTTTTTTTTTGGAGACAGTCTTGCTAAATTCCCCGGGCGGGGCTTGAACTTGCAACCCTCCTGCCTCAGCCTCCCAGAATGCTGGGATCACAGATGTGTGCCGCCACAGTTGGCTAAATAAAAGATTTTGGGAGAGGAGCTCATCCTGGTTACCTGGGTGGGCCTGGTGGCCTCACAGGGCCCTTAGGAGAGGGAAGCAGGGCGCCCAGGAGAAGCGGAGATTGGACAGTGCAGGCGGGGCACAGCCCGAGGCAGGGGGACAGAGTCTCTCTGCTGGCTGGGCCTCAGCTGACCAGGGCCGCCCCATGAGCGGGTGGGATGCGGCTCGTCTGGAGGAACCAGTAGGACGACCGCCGCTGCCCGGCTGTGCGGGATAGGACCTCTGCTCCCGAGGGGGCCGCTGGCTCCTCGGCTGGGCTGCAGCCACTTCCCTGGCTTTCTCTCCTGGCTCCTCCTGAGATGGCAGCCAGGAGATCCAGTCCGCCCAGCCCTCCCTTCCTGTCTGTGTTTTTGTCCTTCCCTTATGAGACTGGGCGTGGTGATGCACACCTGGAATCCCAGCCCCTCCGAAGGCTCAGGCAGGAGGGTGGTGAGTTCGAGCCCCACCTGGGCAGCTTCGTGAGCCTCTGTCTCAAAATAGAATAATGAAAGGGTGGGAGCTGTAGAAGAAGAAAGCTCCCCATCTCAGGGCCCAGCCTAGTGCCCCTTGCTCCCACTCCACCGCATGGAGAATGAAACCCAGCCACCTTACCATGGCCTCCAAGCCACTACAGGAGTCCCTTGCCCACTGCTCAGCTTCACTTTGTGGTGGCCTCAGGCCATTGGCACAAGCTGAGCCTCATCCTGGCCACCAGCTCCTCATTTCAGGGCACAGTATCCAGGCAGCCTGAGTCACAAGGGCTCAACTCTGAAAGGGCTGAGTGGTAACGAGAGGGATGCACAGATGCAGAGCAAAGACAGAAAACCCAGGGCTCCTCCTGAGCCCCTCCCTGTTCCACTCCGATGGCGCCCTGGGTAGGTCAGAGAGAGGTCTCCTTTGCTCTTCGCTCCACCGTCAGACGAGAGCCAGCGAGTAACAGGAGGAGGGACAGGAGTTGACACCCAGAGAGGACATATCGGCTGGCCGTGAGCCCCAAGGGGAGGTGGCCCCACGCTGCCTAATCTTTTGATTTTTCCATGGATGCTATAAAGTTATTTCTATTTTTAAAAAACTTTTAAAACTGGGTGTGGTGGTGCACACCACTTAATCCCAGCACTCAAGAGGCTGAGGCAGGAGGATCACCATGAGAATTGCCATGAGTACAAGGCCAGCCTGAACTACATAGGAAGACCCTACCTCAGAAAAAAACAAAAAACCCAGCTTTTTAAGTCTAACACCGCTGACCATAATACTGTTGTCCACAGTCGAAGCTTCTGACCCCTCTTGTCATTTGAGTATGTTTTCTGGCCCTTGATTCGTTGAAAACCATGCCTCTGGTGTTCTGCAGCTGCTTCCATCAAAACACAGGAGTTTGTTTTCCCATTTCCTGATTCTGGAGTGATCTTGTGCCTCAGGTGTGTCAGGAGGGTGTGGCAGAGATGCTTCGTTCGTTCCAGGGCCTGAGACGGAAATGGCTTTGCCACTCTGCATAGCACAGCCCCTTGGAAACCCTGAAGCCACTGCACGAAGAAGCCCACAGGCTGGACCACCAGAGCCCAGCCACACCACCGCATGGCCCAGACATGTGCATTCGGCCATCTGAACCCACCCAGCCACGGGGGTGATACCTGAGGTCATGAGGGACCTTGGCACGATCAGCAGAGCAACCAACCTGCAGAGCCTGCCCGAATTTCCCAGTAGGGAGGAAATAAACTGATGTTCTGCAGCTCCGGAGCCTTGGTAAAGCTGTCGAGAGCAGATGTGTGGCCAGGGATGTAGCTCAGCAGTGCAGCACCTGCCTGGTGAGCACGAAGCCCTGAGTTCGATTCCTGGTACCAAGAAAAAAAAAGAGACCAAGAGCAGACATATGTCCCTTATGTCACTTCTTCTCATCTGTGTTTATTCTTTTGCTTTTCATCTCTTGTCCTCACACACCCGCTCCCACATTCCCTGGGAGCCCTTGGACTTTGTCTTGCCCTGTCCGGTTCCCAGGGCCTCAAGTGACTCCCAGGAGGTGTTCAAGAAATATTTGTTGAGTGACTAAATGACTGTGTACGTCAGCAAGCATCCACAGTGCCAGCCCCTTGTCACAAGACAGAGCCAGGGTCATGAGTGGGCCAGGTCCCTAGGAGGGAACTCACGGCCCCCTGGACACGTTCCTCTCTGCCATCGTGTCCTTTGAGAGGTCCTTCCGCCCCAGCAGACATTTCCACTGCATGTGACACTGGCTCATCAGCAGCCTCACGCACAGGCAGATGTGCCCACCAGGCCACAGCCATCTTCAGTCAGGGACAAGGCTGACACCCCAGCCCCACAGCGTGTGTCCCTTCCTGTGTGGGCACCTTGCTCCGCCTCCCACACGGGAACCCAGGACGTTGGCGCCCTGGTGTGTTTGGGTGAAGACGCCCGCGTGGGGTTGGGTCACAGTTTCTGACGGGCCCGTGCTGGGAGCAGAGGTGAGGATGCTTGGGTCCTGGACCTGCAGAGCCTCTGGGGTGTCCCCGCCATGGGGGTGGGACAGCTCTGCAGGCGTCCTCTCTGTCCACCAAGAGGTCCCCGCAGGAGCTTGTTAGTAACAGGAGGAACAGAGTTTGGCCCTGCAGACGTCCAGCCTGCAGTCTCTCTTCCCAGGGTCACAGCAGCCCTGGCCATGGCCACGGCCATCATCCAGTGTGGCACTGCCGGGCACGCTTGGGCCAACCCGGTTCGCAGTCATCACAGGGCCGCACCCCGTGTGCACCATCTTCAGACTCCACTCCAGGCCTCCCCAGACAGGAGATGACTCACAGCACGCAGACACGACGCCCCCCACCTCTGGGGACCAGGATGGGAGTGACCTAAAGCCGTGACCTGAGCCGTGGCGGGACTCCGTAGCCTCTGCTCGGCCCCAGATCCCGCGCGCCGAGTTTCTCCGGTCACATCCGGGGGAGCGGAGGCGGCAGCGTGCGCCTTAGGAACCAATGGGGCAGGTGGACTTCAGGGCCCGG